CCTTCCCCTCCCTTCACTCCTTCGGTCTTTGGACCTTTTTTCCTATTTCAAATTATCAATTATTCATTTTAATCATTTTAACTCTTGTTTACACTATCAGTTTCTCACACTAGAGAAACTATTTGGTATTTACACATGTGTCCTATTTATTTCACTTAAGAGTATGGCCTCGATATGCATCCATTTAGCTATAAATGACTCTAGTTTTTTGTTCTTTATGGCTGAGTAGTACTCCATTTTATTAAAAAAAAAACACATTTTCTTTATCCAGTTTCCAGTTGATGGGCAATTGGGGTGTTTCCAAGTTTTAGCTATTACAAACAGTGTCACTATGAACATGGGTGTACATATATTGCTGTGGTATGATTCATTTAATTCTTTTGGGAAGATACCCACCAGGGGAATAGCTGGGTCAAATGGACATTCTAAATGTTAATTTGACAAAATTAGAAAAGGGTACAGTTCTATTTCTTTTAAAAGGAAAAAGCTAACAAGTTCATAATGTTAATACCGATAACGTTAAGGAGAAAATTTCCAAAGGACTGGTTAGAGGCGTGGATATGTCTGAAATGCTAAACTGGGAGAACCAGTAATTACTGCATCAGATGGTTGTTCATATAAGTCAATTTGTCATTGAGTTGTGGACAAAAATAGACCATATACATTCCAAGTTTCTGGAATTGGAAACAAGTGAAAAACCAAGGAAAAGTAGCAAAAGAAAAATACCAAGAAAGTGTTAAAATTTGCATAAAAGATACTGAAAAAGGCAGAGGTGAATTATACCCATAAACTGGTTAAATTCAAGATAAAGTCCAAATTGAGTAGAAAAAAAAAAAATCAGTCTCTGCTTCAAGATACATTTGTATAAAACAAAAGTTAAAGGGTTTAAAGGTAATAGAAACTCTTAGGTCATAGAAATGGAGTAGCATTTTTATTAGGCAGAAATAAGGGTATTACAAGAAATTTCACATTTAAAAGACTGTGGCATGGGCCGGGGATTTACCTCAGTGGTTCCACCGCCTGCCTCGCAAGTGCAAGGACCCAAGGAGTTCGATCCCTGGTACCAAAAAAAAAAAGACTGTGGCATTCATATGTAAGATTTCTGATGTGGGTGGTATTACTGTTGTAAACTGATGTACATATATTTTAAAACACATTTAAAATTAGTAATTTTATGTACTTAAAATTTATTGAGTAATCCTTCAATTAAAAAGAAAACATGTAGCAAAAAAAGGAGTGAGGTGGGGTGGCCTAGACATGTAGGTCAGTTTGAAGGTCTCGTGTTCAATCCCCAGTGCTGCACTCTAACAACAGCATTTATCTTGTGCAGTTGCAAAGACTGAAGGAGAAGGACCAAACAGTGCCTGCAGTAGTAAGTGTAGTAATGTTAGCTACTCGTTATCACTAAGGAAGGTGATCCCTTGAAGAGAAGAAAATAGCAAGAAATGTCTGTAAACACGCTGCTGTCCAGATGCTGAAGGTGCTGCACAAATGTGAGATTGCATATTGTTCCTCTCAGTGATACTCATCATCCCCACAGAGTCCACCTCAGCTGGTCTGGACTCTGACATGCCGTCTGTACAGCATTCATGCAACAGCAAATGGAAGCAAGGCAAGCCCTCTTCTAGAAACCCTAACATTTAGTCCTAAAAAAATACGAAAATGCAAAGAAAACTAAGAAGCGAGGAAGGGAAAAGCAAGACCAATGTGACTTTTGTAGCCACAAACTCATTAGAAATGCCTAGTGAGGGCCGTGGATTTAGCTCAGGGGTTCCGCTGCCTGACTCGAAAATGCAAGGACCCAAGTTTGATCCCCCATACCAAAAGAGAGAGAAATGCCTAATGAGCAGAGAGAGATGGCTCTGATAAGTCAGTAGGTCCACACCTTTCTGAGAAAGGGCTGCACCTCACACAAGAGGTATTTTTCAAAAAGAGCAATAAAACAAACTACTTGTTTGCTGTATTAAACTGATGGAGAAATGAGGATAAGGGAATCATGAGAGGAAATTTTACATTTTACTCTGTAAATTAAATAGAAATGTTGTTTGTTTTATGAGCATATATTTTCATGTCAGAAAAGGAAGGAAGGGGGAAGACAGGAAATAAAGGGCAGAGGGCTGAAGAATACAGGGTTAGAAGTTTTCAACACCTACTGATTCTCAAATCCCTTACAAGGCATAGTCTGGAAGCCACCACCTCTGAAATGTCAAAAAGTGAGGCTGGCAGATCCCAGAAAAGCCAGGCTTCAGACTAAGTCGTAGCTGTTTCCTCTGTCCTGGCCAGCCTGGCTCTACTTTCACCTCTGCACCAGGTCACCTGCCAAATACCTGAGAAACATAAACCTTAAAAGTAATCCCAACTTCCTGTTTACACCGTGCCTCATTCCTGTCCTTTAAAAAGAGGAAAGAAACCTACTTCAGATGCAAGGCCATCACCACTACATGTAGATACATAATGCCCAGTCCCCAACTAGGCTGAGTCCTTCACTCCCCACAGTGCTGAGCCAAAGCAACTTCCTAGATATGTTCTGAAAGCCAGGAAAAGCCATGTGGGGAAGAAATGGGCTGAATTTAGAGCAAGTGCTGAAAAAATATCTCTCTGCTTTGAAGTGCTGGCTCCGCAAAAGCCATAAAGCAAGAATTCTCAGGGCCTCCTTTCAGTAAAGAGGTCGCTGATGTTTCTTGTGTTCCTTGTATTTCTGCTCTCAAGTACAATCACCTCTTACTTATTACTCAGTAGATTTTTTTCAAATCACTATAGCTATAAAAAGATAACTGTCACTAACCCCACCCTGGAGGTGCTAAGGGAATAAAATGAGAGTATGTATGACAATGGTCTGAGAGTTAATACACACTTCACTCTAAATGTAAGGCAAGTTTTCTACCCAGCCATAATTAGAAGCTAGCTTAGAATATGATCCTGGCATGTGCAAACCTTTTCAGCGTATGCAGAAAAGGCCCGATGTTCATAGCCTTTACCAGACTCAATGATCCAGAACCCGAAAGACCAGGACATTAAGCTTTCTATCCAAGTGTTAGGGGAGAGAAGAGGAAGAAATTCACTATGAATTTCCCTGACAGATTAATGTGCATTATATACATCCAACATAGTCACAAAATATGCATTAGGATTTCATAAAATAGAATTTTCTCAAGTTCGTCTTTAAACCAGGACACCACCACCTGCTACATCTTCCCCCAGGGCTGGGATATGCTAGAAGTGCAACAGAGCAGGCAGCACCTTGAGTATGGCACGATGGAAGACACCATTTGAGCTGTAACTTCCATCTGAAAATTATAAGCCCTGCCTTGCCTAGAACCACCTATTCTCTGCCCCTTTCCACTACTGCTTCCTATCTGAAGAAAGGTGAAAATTGATGACTCTGGGTCTGCTGAACCCCACCTTCGATAGCAGCCAAACCAATGAAAAACACCTCTGGCTTCCACTCTTAGAAATCATTACCTCCCAACCCATAAGGATCACAGTCAGCCAGGACTTGCAGCTGTGTGCAGTATTCATTCCCTCGGCATGAGAAAGAACACCAGCTGGACATGCCACTCTCCCTCCCTCACTGTCCTGTCTGCTCCTTAGACTCTGCCAACAGCTCAGCCCAGATGCTGGAGGGCCTCAAGATTCCTATGTGGAAGTCTCTACACAGCTCACGTAGGCTGGAGGAGGCCTTTGCCATCTTGGAGAAAACATTTTCCTACACCCGTCATCCTCATGTTGCACAAATGTGGCATTCTTCAAAACCAGAAAGAAAGGCCACTAGATCTCTTCAAGAAAAGCCACTGAGGAAGCCAGACACCAGGCTCTGGCCTGTGTGACCTGTAACCACTGTGACTCCACCCACTCAGGCATTCAGAGTTAAATCTGGCAGTCCAAGGAGGCACTAGCTGTCCCTTCCTCCACTCACAAGTTAGGGCTAGGTCACAAAGATATTTCTTTCATTTCGTACCATATGATGGAAACTCTGAAAGTGACTGAGCCTTTCTGCAAATTTTGTTTTATTTAGCTAGGCTAGCCTCTACCACTGAGCTATGTCACAAATCTAGATTTTTAATCCTCCAACTATTTTAAGGAAGACCTGAATACCTGTTAAATAGGTTCTTTTTCCTAAATCTATCCATCCAGTTTCTTGAGATGACACTGGATTTAAGGAAGAAATGTGTATCCTTCCTAAGCAGATGAGAAACGATGAAAAATTTAAACCTCATCTCTTCAGTCTGACCTCAAACAGAAGCCCTGCCTCCCCCTAGTCATGTTATGACAGTGCAAACAACACTAGACTGGGAGTCACAATCCGGGCTCTATAGTAGCTCTGCCATCAGCTCATTGCAAAACACATAGCTGCTGGTTTCCCTTTTTGGTCTCTTAGCTGCTTCCTGTGAATACCATGAGAAAACTGACATGAATAATGTTAGGTAACTCTAACTTTTATAATTTTCCCTTTTTGAAACTTTCCACTATAGGCTCACTTGTAAGATGAAAATCCATAGGTTTTCTATTAAATTTCTTATGAATTACCCACAGACAGTTTATATTCACCTTGCATGCTGTACTTTACCCAATCCTGCCAACCCACTGGAGACCCATGTTATAACATGTAAAGCACTGGTCTAAGAGCTTTTTCATGAGGTTGGGCCCTATGAGTTGCCAATGTTTAATAATCTCTGAATTGTTCATATAGTCCAACTACTATATTAGCTTACGTAAGCCTTCTATCAAACCCATGAGGTAAACACTACTGATATCCTCATTTTACAAACAAGAAAACAGAAGCACAGAGAAGCTAGTAACTTGCCTATGTCACACAGCTAGTACATGGTGGGGTTTAGATTTAAACCCAGGCAGCCATGCTCCTGAATCCGGTCCTAACCATAACATTACACTGTGCCTCAAAATGGAAACAAGAGCTTGCTTGATGACTTAAAAGTCCAGACTGAGGAGATATCTTAGAAGGAACGAGAGGCTAACCCACAGCTTCTGCCAGTTTGTACCTTTCACTTCAATGGTGGCATTTGCTTTAGGCGCGCTGACAAAATGATATACACAGTGGTATTCGCCTGAATCCTCAGCTCTTGGCTTATTGATCCTGCAGAGATGAGAAGAAAAACAAAGTGAGGTAACTTGAGTATGATGAAAATATACAGCAAAAGGAAACTCAAAGGGAGCATCAGGGACCTTGTTCAACAAATCCTACTCCTTAATGCAACTCACCTATTCTTAACTAAAAGCAAAAACTTCCCTCTGTGCATCCCAAAACATTAATGTCCTACTCCTTACCGGATGCCAGGAACCCAGAGAAGGAATGACTCATGGCCCTAATCTTAAGATGTTCCAGTCTATTAGGAGGAAAAAACTGCAAAAATAAGTAATCAAAGCAGAAGGCCATAGCAAGTATTACAATTTTTACTCAGATCTAGAGGATGGAACCATCACTAAAAACTTCTTGCCTCATAGTTTAGGTCAGATAAACAAGAACAGAAAAAAAATAAGCCTTTTCTGAGCCTTCCTAAAGACCTAAATATTTAGTAGCATGCTCTTTGGTAAGTTTCTCAATAACAGGATCCAGGCATAGTTGTTTTTTAGTTATTTTTTTAAAGCAAGCAACCAAATCTGACAACAGAACATTAGCCACAGAGATGCAGCTTAGGAAAAAAGGCCTTATCATAAACTCCAAGGCCCTGTGGGATCTGGCCCCTGCCTCCTCTCCTTACCCTTATCCCATGCACTGTCCAGCCCTGTTAGGCTCTCTTCAATGTGTTTTTTTTGTTTTGTTTTGTTTTTGTTTTTTTGGTACCGGGGATCGAACTCAGGTCCTTAGGCTCTCTTCAGTGTGTCAAGCTTGTGCCTAAGCCAGATCCTCACAAAAGATTTTTCTTTACATAGAATATTCTTCCAATCACTCTTACCTAGCTCCTTTGCCATCAGGTCTGGGCTTGCTTGTCACTCTCCCACCCTCCGATATCTTTCTCTTTCACACAACTCTGATTCTTCAGAGTGTCCATCACAGCATGCAGTTATGTATGCATGTGACTGCTTGATTCACGCTGACTTCCTAACGGACCAACTTCTATGTGGGTAGGCCCTATTTAACTGGTGCACAGTTCTATACCCAGCATCTCACGGGTGTGCCTGCAGTACAGTGGGAAATCAATAAACAAATGACTAAATGAACACACATTCAGAATGAAGAATTGTTCAGAGACCCAGACCAATTTAAGTAGAGTAAAAGGAAGGACATATAATATGCGTGTGTGACCAGACCAGCATCTCCTCTCAATCTCACAAGTGATCCTAAATAAACCTTGCCTCTGAGGGGCAGTTTCACACCACCGCAGTAAACTCTAGTGTACAAACACACCAAATATGCAGAAAGCCCAGTGAAAAATTACAGAAGATAGAAAATCAATAGCTTCCAGATCAGGGGATAAATATTTAGATAGGGCTAGACTCCTGCTCTTTTGCTTATAGGTTAAATACATGATACTTGTTATGATCCAATCTCTTGTACTAATTAACGTCTAATAAAAAAAACTAATCTCATCCACTAACTGGCCCAGTCATGTACCTGTCTTACTGTTCATTAAGAAAAAAGACCATACAGAGGTTGAGAGACTATGAATGAGGCAGAGTGTCTGGGGAAAGAGAAAGGGAAGAGGGAGTAAAGAGACTGGAAATGACCAAGTAGAAAAAATGTTTTGAACTATTACATATTGCAAACAGAGAGAGGGAGAGAAGGAGGAGAGACAGATAGGTGTTGATAATATGAATGACTCATTCTGGATTGAGGAGAGGCATAGCCTACCCCAAGCCTGTCTCAGCATGTCCACAGCAGCATAATATTCTTTTTTTGTTTTGTTTTGTTTTTTGAGACGGGTTCGCTTTGGCCCTGAACTCACTATGTAGCCCAGGCTGGCCTTGAAGTTGTGGTGATCCTCTTGCCTCGGCCTACCGAGTGCTGGGATTACAGGCATGTACCACCATGCGGAGCTGCAGCATAATATTTAATGGGAGCAGTCAAGATGTCTTCTCAATTGACACAAACACCTCATCTTAAAAACCAATATGCTCTCAATAGGCATAGACAGAGACCAATTGCTCTTCATAACAAGTATTCCAGAGTGTGGGGGAGGAGCCCTATTTAGCGCTCCTAGCTCCTACGGAACTCTAAATTCCCCTAGAGGTGAGGGACTGGAGGGTGGGGCACCAGGCACACCCACCCTAGCTTGAGGCCACGCACAGGGGCTCAGCATCTCCACACACCATTCCCTTCAGTTAAACACTGGGAAGGAAATGAAACACAGAATTCCTAAAGGCTAGGCAGAAGCAGGTTTCTGACTCTGGCTCTATGAATGAGTAGCCCAAGGGACTCCTGAATTATTATTCCACAAATGTGGAATCTCTGAAAAACTCTTAGAGATGTAGAATATCACAGAATGTTCAGGATAAATAAACCAAGAAAAAGAAGAGGCATAAAGCCAGGGTGAACCTTCATGAAGTTTTAGCTCAGAGTTTTGTGGGCAACAGTGCAAAACCCCCTACCCCAATATCACTGGATGTCTGCTACCTTGAAACAAGTACTATTTTGTAAAATTATGTATATAAAGAACTGATGAGCAGACTAGGATTACCTTCTCTCTATTAACATCTCTAACTGATTGATCTTTTCCAAATTATGAGGATGCAGCTGAGGCTGTATCTCCACTTTGATATCAGAAGAAACTACAGTGGAGACAGTTAACTAACTTGCCATTAAGTGGTACAGCAGGGGAAAAAAAAATTCTGTAGAAAGTCAGAAAACCTGGAACTTAGCCTTGGCTCTGAAACTTAGGAGATACGGTATCTGGCTTTCTAACCAGCCAAGAGTTACTTCTTTGGGGCTTAGTTTTCTCACCTGAAGAAAGAGAATCGATCTACAAACTCCTGTGGCTCGCCTGAGGGGTGTCAAAGTTCTCCATGCTGTAAATACTGCAGAATGCCCTTGCTACTGCTGGGCACACAGGCTCTCCTGGCCTCAGTCCAGTGCTCTTGCTGCACTCCTTCAACCCGCTAACTAGGATTAGCCGATCCTTTTCCAGATTGGTTTCCAACTAGAAACAAACTACTCTGAAAAATGAGGTTCTGTGTGTTCAAGATGTTCCAAAAAGCACCAGCTCTTTAGGTGCCAAGTAACTAAGACCTGCAAACATTCCTCTCTCTTCAGAGGTTATTTCCAGGTAACCTTTCTCACCCAAGATCCTAGGCCTACTAGTCCTGATCAGGTCACAGTGACCGTAAGGCTCCTAAAAGGTAACTCATAGGTGTCCTCCTCTGTGTTTCAAAGCCTACTTCACTCTGATTCCTCCAAGCACTAAAGTGAGTCAGAGGCCTGCGTTCTACTGGGGATACTACCAGTGACTCTCATGGCTGCCTGGAGCAAGGCACTCCCTCCTGCCCACAGTCTGTTACCACAGGGAGGAGGTTACTGATGGTTCTCAACCTAGCTACTTGCTAGAACAATCTCAGTCTTTTATACATTCCTGGACCTCACCTCAGAGATACTAAATTAACTACCCAGGTAAGGACCAAATATATCTCATGTCAAAGTTCACGGTTTGGCACAAAGTTCAATTCACAGTTCACGGTGCATTTTTTAAAAAACATTCTTAGGGGGATGGGGACTTAGCTCAGTGGCACCGTGCATGCCTCACAAGCATAAGGTCCTGAGTTCGATCCTCAGTACCAAAAAAACATTCCTAGATTCATCGTTACAACATGCACGTGACAACTCCCAGTAAGTCCTGAAATGCACTGGTAAGACCCTTAAAGAAGTTAAGAATACATCATTATAAAGGTCACAGTTATTAACAGTTCAACTCACTGTAATAAAAGCAGATAATGTGTCTTTTTTTCTTTTTTGGAGATAGGGTCTTATGTAGTTCAGGCTGGCCTTGAACTCACAGCAATCCTCCTGCCTCAGCCTCCCGAGTGCTGGGTTTATAGGCATGCACTACCATGCCTGGTGCATAATATCTTTTAGGTAACATTCTCAAATTCATAATTTCAACATGTATATGCAAACTCCTGATGATATGGACTAGGAATATCAAAGTCATCTCAGCTCCACTCCTTCCCAGTCCCAGGAGCTGCCAGTCCCTCTCACCTGTATTCCATGTTGCTGGCATTCTTACGAGTGGCAGTCAGTTCTACCCCATTCTTTGTCCAGTAGCTGAATGTAAGGGTGTGAGAGCTGGAGGTGAGGTTACACTGCAGGGTGACGGGGCCAGGGCTTTCTTTTATAATGACCTCTTCACTGGTGACAATCCTTGGTTCTGTAATAAGAGTGCATAATGATAGGGGGCCACAGCTTTCCAGCATCTGCAGCCCTGGCCTGAGAGTTGGGTGGGGTAGGAGGGGAAGACTAGAGAGGGAGGGCAGACAGGACTACATGAGGACTTTCACTTTATCACTTTGGAGGAGTCAAGAAAGGAAAAACAATGATTATAAGCAAATGACCACTAGCGCAGACAACAGCCTGAAGACCAGTTGGCCTAGACGTGAAAGAATGGGAGTATTACACGTGCTCATACTGGCAACAACCCATTTAGAATTGTGAACACCGCCTTTTTATGATACAAGAACCACCAACTAATTCAACTTCAATTATAAAATCAGGCTCCACCTTGCAATTTTAAAGACAAAGGCATTATCATTTATATAACTAATAAACTCCCTATGGAGTCACTGGGCCTTGGAACAGTGATAGGTATAATTAGATACATGTGTGTTGTTTCCTATATTTAAATCTGTTAAACCTACGGCAAACGATCCATAGCTGTTTATGCAGAAAAGACCAGATCCTAAAAGCAAACTTACTGGAACTCTTCATTTTCTGAATACTGAGGAGAAAAAATTCCATTAGTTATTCTCTCTGGCCCATATTTATTTCCAATTTTTTCAGAATTGCACTTCACATTCCATTTTAAGATAATATGATTATATTAGAGTGCAATATGTCTTGGTATTATGGGCTCCTAGAATTTTGGAGCTGCAAGGTCCTTAGAGCTTACTGAACCCCCACCCCCTTTAAGGGCTTAAGAAGTAAAATGACTTGTGCAGGCCATAATTATTATTAGTGGCAAAACTGGGCCTAGAAACCATTTTGATTGGAATTCTCTACCCCTAACCCCATTCCAACAACATTCCTACCCCAACCTTCCACCCTACAACAGGGTATACTTCACTTTCTGGTTGTATCCTGGGCTTAGATAACATAGGATCACCAGTTTATCTTCAGAAGTATCCTATGAGTCAAATATAACACATTGAGCAGAAAAATTTTAAGTCACACTGTATCATTCATGGAAGCTTTATCTTTAAAGCACTTTGAAATCTTCATTGCTATTTTAAAGTCAGAACATGTGTATGTTTGTTCTTTGTTTTTTTTTTGTCTTTAATCTTTTCCCATGCTTAGTTCTTTTTCTATGTTTGATCAAACATTTTCAAGTGAAGTCTAAACTAAGCATCTTTTCCCATCCACAATAAATATTTTTTTTCCTCCCAGTTCTTTCTCTGAAACACATGACTGACTTCCTATTTCTTCTTACCTGGCTCCTACATCTCTGCAGCAACTCCCCCTTACCACTTTATGCAGGGTAGTTCTGACTCTGAATTGTTGAAGACAGGACTGTCTCCCTTCATTGCAACTCATGTTGTTCAGGAGGGTAAAAGGATAGAGAAGTCATGGGATACTTGGAAAATGTAGTGACTTAAGGACCTCCTGGCCAGTATAGGATTTCTGACTACAGAGTTAGTATCTTCAAAGAAACTTGTCATAAAGCAAATCCTTACATTTTCTCAATAGATTGGTTCTGATTTCCAATTCTGGCAAAAGGATAGAGGTTATCTTCCATTCAGCACTGGTCCTTATCAGTAACATTAAACAGAGTTTCTATGTACAGATAATGGAGGCGTAGCAGCCACTATGACAAAAGCAGATGCATGTAAACATGTTAGCGCAGTGGTGTCCCATGGTTTCCAAGACACACTGGACAGAAGCCAAATCCCTGGGCTTTAAGAAGTCGAGCAGAACGGCTGCAAACCCTGCAATGGAAGTCGCACACACACCATCAGCAGAAAGCATCACAATTCCAAGAAAAAACCAAGCAAAAACAAAAGAGAAAAAGATAGAACCAGTACTCCACAAAAGAGAAATTAAAAAATATCAAGGCAACATTAAAACCCAAACACACTTTGAGGTTTTTACTAAATTTTTATTATCCAATTTCATTGTCTGTCCCACTTGGGACTCTCCTTCTGGTTCTTCCTCTCAGACTGCACCGAGAAAGGGTGAACTCTGAGAACGAGGCCAAGAGTTTCCAGATGTTTAAATACAAGGAGGCCAAAGTAAATGCTACTCTTACCTGTGGTGATGCAAATGCCCACTGAAGCTCAGGGAGATTAAGAAGTTGATGAAAGCAACCTGGTAAGACTTTCTGCCAAGAAATCTTGCAAGGCAAAGGATAGTACTTTTCCCCTTAAGTGTTAAAGATCCAGGAGAGTCAGCTGGGAGCAAGTGGATACTGTAATAGGTTTAAATACGATTCTATAACACAGGAGGGTTGCGGAGTGCCGTTCCTCCTGTGATTGCTGTATATGGAAGCCAGTGCTAGACTATGCTCCTCTGGCCATGGTGCCATATCTGCATTCTGCACCAGGATGAAGGTGGGGCTTTCCTTCTATGGCTGAGTGCTGCCCAGTCAAAATCCAAGACTGAGAACATTTAGGAGAGGCTCAAACATTGTTACTTGCCACTGACTCCTGTTTAGAAACACCGGGTAGGACACTCTTACCCTAGCCATTATGCATATGTGAAGAACATGGTGTGGCCAGCGAGATTCCCTCACTGGGCACATTTTTCTTCTTGCCTTACATTACTTAAAGAGCTGTGGGAGAAGTATTACCAGGAGGTCATTTTTAGAAGACTTTAACCTCCCCATGGAAACAATATGTCTGGGAATGCCTGAGACCATAAAACAATTCAATTAGAGTTAATTCAGGATATTAAAAAAAAAAAAAAAAAAGCAGCAGCAATAGCCTGGCTCTCCAAAACCACTAACTTGGATTAAAATGGGACAGAGATGTCTGAGGAGACTGACTAGCCAGGATTTGATTCAATCACATGCAAACACCCTTAAGTTGGGAAGTGTGTTTCTAAGTAAACTGGGAAATGCTGTATACTCTCAGGATTGATAGGCAGGTACTCCCAAAGCCTTTTCTTTTTCTAGCTCTCATGGGCTTTCTAAGCTGTGAGTCAGGCCTTCGAAGGAAATTAGCAAATGCCCAGCCCAGGCCATACCTATAAACTTCTGCAGACCTTTGTGGCCATTTGGGTAATTCTGCTTTTTTAAGGAAAGGAGCAAGGGGGCAGGAGAAGGAGGCGTGCAAGGGGAAAAAAAATTGTTAAAAAAAGAAAAGAAAAGAAAAATTGCTGGGTTAATGTTCCCCATTTTCACATAGACATGGTTTTCTTTTCTCCTTCACAGAAGCAGGTTCTCTGAGTCAACAGTGCCAACTGCAGCAGACTTTCCTGTCTCTCCTCTCAAGCCTCTTTTTGTTGCCCCCCCCCAATGATTACAAATCAGGCACGAATTCACTATTTTTCATGTAAGTATATAGACTTAGGGCCCAAGTCATATCACCTCCTGTGTTATTACCAAATTCCTCATAAAAATAGTATTTTTACTACTTTTACTGTCTAAATCAGTTAGCTCTTTCAGACAGACATGGCCATAGGTCTCACTGAGCCCTTGAACATAATGTGAAAAACCCAAAGGCACCTCCTATTAAATAGGAATTCCTCCTCAACTATAACCAGGTCAAATGCAGGGCTGGAAGTCTTCCTGGGCAGGAGCATTGGTTCTGTGATGACTTCCCCCTCCTTCCTACCATACAAGTAGCAAGCAAGTTGCTTTCCAGAGAGAGAAGTGGCCACCAAAGCTGCTGTGTCAGATGACTGACTCCTTGTTCCCACTACAAAAGATGGAGAGGATTTCAACCCGGCTGTTCACTTAGAGGAACAAGGAACAAGGTTTGGATTTCGTTTCCTCTCTTTTCAAGGAACAAAGGAAGGCTAGTGTGATTGGCATCCAAACTACTTCTGGGGTTACCATCTTCTGGGATGAGGGTCCCCCTGTGCCAAGTCACTCATCAAAGCCAAATTATCTGTGAACAGGAATCAGGTGAAACTCTTAAAGACTTTGAGATAGTGTGATGGGGCTTTAAAAAATGTATTTTCCCTACCACTCTGAGCAGCTTAAGCAGGAAGATTGCAAGTTTGAGCCAATTGTGGGCAACTCTGCAAGGCCCTGACTCAAAATAAAAATTGGGCTGGGGATATAGCTCAGGGAAAGGCCATGAGTTCAATCCCCAGTATCAGCGGGTGCAGGTGGGGGAATATGTGATATTCAGATTGCAGCTCTGTGTCACCTAACACTGAATGGTAAGCTATAGAGAGGCAAATCTCAGGAGACTGAATGGACAGCCCCAGGGAGGAGGTGTCTCCCTGCAGTGGAGGGCTGCTGTCAGAGAAACATGCCACTGCTTTAGAAAAGAAAAAGAGCTGGAACTATGGAATATCCAAGCTTACATGCCACCCAACAATCAAAACACATCACCACACTGCACCCAAGGCAACATTCCCATCACAAAACAGGGGGACACCAAGTTACGGTGAGGGAAGAGGCTGGGCAGACACAAACTTAAAACCATAGAGGTGAAGGCAGCTATTCAGAGAGCTTCAAACAGATAAACACATGATATAAAAATAGTTAGATTGGGGAGAAAAACAAAAAAAGAAAGGCACCAAGGAAGAAATCAGCAAAAGGATAGCAGGAAACCTACTACAAAATTAAAGGAGAGGGAAATAAACAATTTCAACACTACCCTCATTTTGACTGCCTGGTTTTTTGTGTTTTCAAAAAATTTTGTAACCTTCCCAGTTTTCCCTCCCCACCTCTTCCCAGCGCAGATGATTTTGGACAATCACGGATTTCCTCAAGTTCTTTGTTCCTGAGGAGAAAGACACAGAGGAGGGTTGGGGGACAAGGGAGGTAGAGAGGACAGCAAAGAAGAAAAGTCGCCACAGATGTTTTGATACACTACAACCAGAAGGGTCGTGGGTTTGAAAAACGAAGACAAGGGGTGGGGTGAGCGATCATACTAGGGAAAAGGGAAAGGAAGCAGAGGGAAGGGTCATCGGGCCACCTCTATGACTACAGTACTACTACTGTAGGGTGCTGGACTCACTCTGAAGGACGCTTATGGTGGCCTGGGCTCGAATCCATGTTATAGAAGGGTTTTGCCTCAAGTCATTCCTCTTGGGGTCGTTGCTGGCCCTGCACTCGTAAGTCCCAGAGTCCTCCAAGGTGAGCCGGGTTATTCTCAGCACACTCACGCCGTTTGACCCGTAGGCGGTGTTTACGGTGACACGGCGCTTCCGAGCACCGTCCCACAGCTGTCTGAAAGACTCTGCCCGGTTGACTTCTGCGTACCACCACTGGATCTCTGGCGTGGGGCTCCCGACCACGTCACAGTACAGCTCAAAGGCGTCCCCCGTGAGCTTAGTTTCTGACATGGGCGACTTGACAAACCCAGCTAGAGGGAGGGGGAGCAGGAATGCAGTGACAGGCCAACCAGAAAAAAAAAAGAATCAACAGGTGTTAATAGTAATTTAAAAGAAAAGAAAAGGAAAAAAAAAGCAAATGAGTTGCAAAGAACAAAAAAGGATTCATTTTTAAACTATAAAGAGACAGTAATAGCAATTCATACAAGCCTTTAGAAGAAGAACCACCCTGGGAAGCTTATGAAGCAAAGGCAGGCCATTGCAAGCTGGGGCAGCCCAGGTGCTGGCCAGGCAAAGCAAGCCCACTGGAAAGCATTTGAGCAATGGGCCCAGCTGGAAGGAACGAGAAAGCCTCATGTCTTGGGGAAGAGCCTCTTTCCTTACAGCACAAACCATTACCTTTTCAAACTCAGGAGAATGATGAAGGATAATCAGAAGTGGCAGTAGGTTTATGTGCCAAGTCAGGATCTCTCTCTCTTTTAGATGGGTAAGCATTTTTTTAGAGATGCTAGGTCTTTTGTAAGCCTCAACAAGAAGTATTAATTGACCTACTGGTACTTTCTCTTGGGATCCAGTCCAAATTTCAGCTGAAAAGTAGTAAACTTCTCCTGCAGGTTTCTGAGTTCAGATTAGACTTTTCCCACCTCTCATTCTTTCCTGGCCTATGGCAGACAATACCCCAGTGGTCTACCATTAGACAGTCTCTCCTCGAACGCAGACTCCCAGGCACAGGAGACAGGACAGTCTGTACCTCACTCCAGAGTGAGAATTACTACCAGCATTAGCTCAGGAGCTGAACCAGAAATAATAGCAGCCCAACTCATTGGAGAATCCCATAAATTGACACACCTAGAAAAATCTGAAAAGCTAGTCCTTCAAATAAACACGGTTCTTAACTGGCTCACTTTACACAGTTTAGTTAGTTGTTTTCTAGAAGTCAGCTCCAAAAAGAATGTGGAATGTACGCTGATGAATTCTAATGTGAAGGCCAGGCCTCACCCAACATTTCAAAGCACTCTCTGGAAACTAGTTGTTGCCTACTTTCATTTTCCCAGAATGTGCGTGAGGTTATACTTCTGTAAGAGGAAGTGGCAATGGCAGAATGCAAAACAATCATAATCCAGGCTAATCTGAAAAACTTGGAGTTGGACTCTAGGAAAGGAAACTATAGCACAAGCATTCTCTATCTGAACCATTCACTGCACTTAGGATCCATTCAGTACTTCTCAATTGAGGCAGTATCTTAAGATTCAGGGCAAAGAGCCAAGCAAGAGCATTCTGAGTGGCTTCCTGACCTCCCTTGAGAGGCATAGTTCACAAGTTAAGGCTAGCCCCGCTGCAGTGAGCCGAGAGTAGGGTCAGGATGCACCAATGTTAGACTAAGAATGTTCCAGACGAGAAGAAGAATGAAACAAAACTATTTCTCTACAGTCCAAAAGCCACGGAATGTAATGGGGCTAACTAAAAATAGAGGTTGCTAATGAAAAAATTTGTTTATATCCATAGCAATACTTGCCTTTAAAGATAAACCCCATCCCACAGATCTAAGTACTCTAAGGGAAGTAGTATATGTAAGTAGAGGTCAAGACCTCCAAATTCATACCAGTTTTTCAACTCCTGAAACTTTCAGCATCTGGACAGCAAGAACATATAGTAATGAACAAGCTTAGACTACTTATTCTACCTTGAACATACTCTTCTAAACTAGCTCTCAGATTCAGCATTTGTTCCTTGTAAGTACTACAAGCTCCAAGCAGCTGAACAGACATCATTCTCCAACATAGGAGACGTTTTAGAATCACAGAAAGGTGCCTCAGGGCCCTGTACAAAAAGCTGAGCTCACAGCCAGACACAGTGGTGTCCAAGAACATTGTCTCAGTCAGGCTCAAAATCAAAGTCAAAGCTAACAAATATAAAAGAAGTAAAAGATGCTGGTGTCATTCACTTTACTACCAACCAGTTCAATCACCACAGAAAACTGGACATCAGTAAATCCCCAGAATACAGGAAAGAGTACTATTCTGAATCATATTCTTGACCATTAAGTGAAACCACATTCACATTCAGCCTTATTCACACATTTTCTATGAACTCTGGGTTTATATCCTCTCAAATTCTGTAATGATACACTTAATTATGCCCTAGAAATCAGCTATTTTGTATTTCCTTCCTTCTTCTGAATTGCACTTCAGAGCAGGCTTAAATTTAAGCCTGCTGACCAACTGATCACACTTGAGAGGTTCAGAACTTTCAAAAACCCATATAATTCTAGAGTAACCCCAAATCCTAGTTATCACGAAATTCAAAGGCAAGTGAAAAACAATCTGAACATGATTCTCACCAAACTAAGCAAGTCACTAAGCTTGAGCACACAAGACTTTCCACTAAAGGAAGACGAAATGCTCATCTGATTCAGTTCGACTTTCTACCTGTATGAAGGAAAATGGGTCCAAGTCATAACTGTTCTTTTAAATTGCTAAATTATGATTCATATGTAAATAAATTTTATTTTAAAATAATATTTAAAACCCCCTAAACACTGACAGTGGGGATCTTTCTGTGCATTTTTCAAAGACCATTATTATTACTAGATGTATATTAACATGTCACATTTTCTACTTATGTTTTCTATGTTAGGCAACATGTAAACCAATTTATATTCATTATCCTCACAACTGCTTTATAAAGTAGATTCCATTATAAAAATAGATTCCATTTATAAAATTCCATTAAAAATGTGGAAACTGGGCCAGGCATGGTGGTGTACAACTGTAACCCCAGCACTTGGGAGCCTGAGGCAGGAGGATTGCCATGAGTTCGAGGCCAGCCTGGGCTACATGGTGAGTTCAAGGCCAGCCTGAACTACAAACAAACAAGACATGTAAACTAAAGTCCAAAACAGTTAAGTATTTTGCCCACAGTCACAACTAATGATGAAAGTCTAGCCTGTAATCCAAGTATAGCCAAAGCCAAAGCATGGTCCATAAACACCCTTCTACATTCAAGAGTCTTACAAGGCTAGAAAAGTCTTATATAGTCATTTAAAAATTAAAGACAAGCATTCCATTTAGTTAAATAAATAAACACTATGATCACTAACTCCTTAAAATTGTAATCTTATTAAAGGATGATGAGAGAGGAGCACTGGATGAAAGAGTTCCTAAAGTCACCGGGGAGGGGGTGGGTGAACAGTGAGAAAACAAAAGAATGCTTTAGTGTCAGGTTTCCCATAAACATGAGTTAAGATGTGTTACATCCATGTACTGACTCCCCACAATGAATGCAATCATAATATTATAGGCAGCTAAGTTAGACAGAAATTAATATGTAGTCAGACCGGGCTCTCAAGGAAGTCAGCAGGAAAAAAAAAAAAAAAAGACATCAGAATTGTGGCTGGAGGTACATCTGAAGAAGACCAGGCCTCAAGACAAAGGTACAATGGCTAGGCCTACATGGCTCCCTAAGGGATAAGCAGTGACTTAGAATTATACCATAATTAGCCTCACCTGGTCCAGGAACTCCAGACAGGAATCAGTCATCCAGGTGGGTGACCAGAGCATCTGGACCCATCCCTTCCCAAAAATGCCTTTGTTCTTTCCATGCACCCTTGCTATGTGACCTGCTTCCCTGGTGGACCAGTATTGGCTAAGCAGCTATACTTGTAATCCTAAATCCTATGGTTTAATTATACTTTGACCCATGTTGTGCCCACATTATGACTCTGTGGTATAAATTATCCTGATAAGGTGGCTTGGTGGCAAGCTGCTTCCCAGTCCCCTCCTGTCTCTCAGGGGCTATTCTTATTCCCCAATAAATCCTTCCTATCTTTAACCTCCTTTGTCCTTTGGAATTCATTCTTCGATTTCAGGGGACACAGCTCAGCACATCTGACATCTAGCAGGTTAGGCGTTTTATTTTCCCTTGTATCAATTATGTACTGCAAACATGGACTAATAAAAAATTTTTTAAAAAGAAAGATGATTCTGAAGCAAGAATACCCTAGCTCTGATGATTCCAATTTCTGGCTCTTAAGAAGGCTGGCTTCAGGGGAGGAATGAACTTAATTAAAAGACAGATGTATTTCTGTGGTACTGTAGTCAGAAGCCAAACTGAAAAAAAGGCAGTACTTGAAATTTTTATAAAATTTAAAAGTCTGCAAACTGCTTCCACTGAGATCTCATTCCGTACACACAGTTCTGCAAAGCTCATAGGGCAGATACAGAGACAGGTTCACGACATTCCCAAGAGAACTTAGTGTGAGTTGGGACTGGAACAAAGTTTTCAGATCATAGTCTAGGGTTCTTTCTGATACTGTACTGACTGTATACAAACCAATCAGAGGACTCCTTCATAGCTGAACACTCATCAACAATCATGAAAAGATTTATTTCTCTTCCAAACAGTAGGGAAAAGAAAGGCAGGAGGTATTCTCCCTCTCTGCACAGTACTGAGAGATCACAATCAGCAAGAGAAGTTATTAGCAACCATCCACTTCATTATCTATCCAAAATTAGCTCCAATTCAGAACCAACTCTCAGAAGCAGCAGGCAGTAGGCAGCTCAGAACCTGACTCACTGCCCTGTCTTTCATTACCAAGGGCTTTCAAACAAATACATGCCCTCAACATGACAGCACATAACTGCCTCAAGTTGGAAGGCCAACAGAAGCAACTGTTTGAACTCCCGGTAAGGGCTCATGTAATATTTTAGAAAAAGTCTAAATTGTAGAATAGTAATTGCCATCCCAAATCCTTCCCAGACATCATCCCCACTAACTGTCGTACGTGACAGAACTCAGATCTCAAACAGATTTAAGAAAATATTAACATTAATGTGCTCCATTCAACAGTGACAGAGAAGAGCTGAACGGTGGCTCTTGGCTTTGAGGAACAGAGGGACTAGAAGGTATAGAGGGTGGGTAGCAGTCACAGCACTAAAAATGGAGGCAGGTGGGCTGGGGCTTTAGCTCAGTGGTTCTGGCGCCTGCCACACAAGTGCAAGGTCCCGAGTTCGATCCCCGGTACCAAAAACAAACAAACAAAAAATGGAGACAGCAAAATCAGGAAGAGCGTAATGTGAAACTGCATGACTGAAGCTGAGGGACGGGATGCGGAGATGACAGCCAGAGAAAAGGAGGGAGCTCTCTGGCAGGAAAAAGTGGATGTGTCGATATGCAGCAGAGGGTGAGAAGAAAAAAGGAACACAGAAGAGCAAGTTGAGCCCAATCCCAAGGACTGGCCTTAAAGCTACCCTAGGGAAGCAGAAAAGCTAGCCTAGCTTTATGCAAGAAGGACCAGCAGTGATTTTAGAGCCACCAAGCTCGAAGGCAACCACAGAACAGACAACAAAACCAAACTTCTCTCCCTCCATCTTCTTCTTCTGGTTACTGCCAAGGGTAGGCCTTTAAATCTTGCCCACTTTCGCCACTTTTTTTTTTCTTTAAATAGCTGTTCCTTCTCAAATCTCCCTCTACTACTAATTCCCTGTGGGTGGCTTATGCTGTTTTATCCTGTACACCTCACAATAGAGGAATTGACAGCTAAGGACATAAGAACATTTCTCTGTCTCACACACAAATTCAAATCACCTACTCACCTCAAAAAGAAGACAGCAAGATCCTCTGAAACCTAAATGTGGCTATAGGGACTGAGTATTTCAAATCTGTCTCAATGACCAGTAACTCCCACAAGGGCTTTTGTAGACTAACACAGGCTACTTGACAGCCTGCCTATCCACACTGTTAACTAAGCAGCAGATCAGTCATCCCCTCTCCATAACACCACAGGGAGGTCAAAAGTCCACGTGTATCGACTCTGTGAGTATTGCAGCCCTCAGAGTGGGTAGAAATGGGGTAACCTCATTCTCTGTGGCAGACAGAAGGGACATGAGCCTGACCTCACGGCTTAGCCTGATCTCTAGGTAGAAATGAGCATTTCCCAAATTCAAAATTTTTCCAAATTCACTTGTTTTACAGCTACTTCCATTAGGCTGTATGATAAAAGTTCAGAAATTAAGATCATTCCTGATGCGAATTTCTAAACCAGGGCCCACCCTTTATTCTAAAAATATACCATCCAAAAAGAATTCTGATTGACCTATGTCAGTGATGGTGAACATTTTCAAGCTTTCAATTGTAACAGCTGGCTGCAGCATGTGTACCATAGGTTTGTCAACACTGACCTATACTAACCAGCCTTCTGCTTTGGAGAAACAGAGAAATCTAGTCAGTGTCAAGAAAGACTACACGGTTTTGTGATTAAAAGTAGCAAGGCCTCAAATCAGACTGCCCGGGTTCACATGAGGCTCTATTGCTGTATGAACTCAGGCAAGTGACCTAACCTCTCTGCTCTTCATCTCCCTAATCTGTAGAAGAGGGTTAAAAATAGCAGCTACCTTCCAGGGTTACTGTGTGGATTACATAAGATAACAGCTTAAAACAGTGCCTGGCACATAATAAGCATTCAGTAATATTATCTATTATTCTATGTCTCCACAGAAATAAATACTACATAGGCCTAGAGAGTAGCCTTCAGCATTGTTCCACGACAGCTGGGAAGCACAACTCCACATCCAAAATGAGTTTAGTTTAGAATCCACCTTCTTCAAGAAACAACAACAACAAAATTAACCTTACTCTGTCTAAATGAGACCCAAAAGAGCAGAACTGCAGAAGGCAACAAAAAAGTAGGGAATTATCCATTCTTTCCTATCCTTAGAATAAACTAGAATGAGGAGAGTGTGGTGGCAGCAGACACACATGTGAACTTAAGGACTTAGCAACACTGCTGAGTTGTAGGCCATTAAACTGAGATGATATGAAAAAACAATGTGGAATGTCCAAGATGATGATATAAAAAGGTAGCACAAATTTTCCTTGGAAAAAAAAAAAAAAGAATAAACCTATCAATTACAAATCAGTTTAATAGGATATGTAGGAAGATGATGGATATTGGTTAGACCAAACTGTGAATCCACAAAATTTAAGGCAAGATGATAGTTACAGGGCTTTGGATCACATCAAATTAGTTTAATTTCAGCCTTAAAATAAGATGACTTTTTGAGTCAGTATCTCCACAACTTAAATTCTTAACTTCAAGCAATTTCTTTAAATGCAAGTGATGCCACCTACTTGATGGGGTAGTTTTGAAAACCATGTGACATTTGTCTGTGAAAGAGTTCTATAAACGGCAAAACTATGCAAATGTTACATGACCCAAGACAGAGAAAAACGAGACTGGTCTCCCTCACCAAGGATTCTCCTTGGGTTTTGCACCCAATTCCCACTGACAGCTAAGCAAGCATAACCTTATATCCCATGGGTCTAAAAAAGTCAGTGACCAAAACAGGGGGAAAAAAAGAGCATGATTAAAAGGCCACGGCTTCTTTCATGGCAGAAAAATATACACATAGAATTTCAAGGGTGCTCCAGACCCCATTTAACACCTTGGTCTAGATTTTACTAGTGTTCAATGAGTGGATAGGTAAGGATCTCCCTATTAAACTGAGAGCTCACCTTATAGGGAAAGTGGGCCATAGATTAGAACATTTGGATTGGATTCCTCAGTTTCCTACACCTCAGTTTCTTCATCTGAAAAACAGGGACAATAATTTCTATCTTAAAGTCATGGTGAAATTCAATGAACAGTGTAAAGTAATCTGCAACCTGTGAAGCTACAAATGCAGTACTATAAAATGGCAGTTTTAGGCAACAATTCTACTCTGCAACTTAAATACTGCAGTCTAAGCCATAATCCTAGCTGTTGGGAGGCTGAGAGAGGAAGATCCTAAGTTTGAGCCCTACCTGGGCAACTCTGCAAGACCCACCCAAACAGAATGATCTAAACCAGTTCTGGGTGTTCTACTGAGGTACTTCAGAAAGAGCTGGAAAAAAATGGAGGTAGGGCTCACAGACTCTCCAGTGGTAAAGGGAGGGGATTTACTGGACCAACTGTCCATCTCTGAAGTTTTCAGTTTTCCTAAACAAAAAAGCATTAAACACCACCAACCCAAAGAATTTCAAGTAAAAAGCAATATTATATAAGGTAACAGAAATGAAAAAAAAATGATTTAAAATTAATTTTTAAAAAATTTTAAAATGCTTATAAATATAGAACTTGACACCAGGTTAAGAAATAGAAGGAATTGGAAGTTTTTAATAGCAAAGAAATCATCTCAGAGTGAGGCCTCCTTGTACTCTTCCTTGTATGTGTAACATGTTCCAAGTGCCGCGTGAATATCCTTGAAGGGACTCAGGACAGTGAAAGTTCTCCTTATGTTATTTATCAGCAAATCCTAGCCACTTAGTCCAGTCCTTTACCAATCCTCAGGTACACAGTTTCACTATCAAAAAGAGCTCCTTGAAGACTAACATTTCTTTTCCATCCCAGGGAGGAAAGAGGCATTCCTATTTAATCTGGAGCAAAGAAAGTCAAATCCAAGAAAGTGAGGCTAAATACAATGGATCAGGTAGGCACCATTTTAAATGCGACATCAAAATGATCATGACTGTTTAAAACATTGTCATCTAGTAGTTGCAAACTTTTGTCAAGTTAATTTTTTTAGGAAACTTTGGGTAATTCACTTTCTAATTCCACAAATAATAGTTAAGCTGCTGATTACAAAGGGAAAAGGCTAGCTTTACAATCTGTTTATATCTCAGAGTGTTCTTAATGAAAGGTTTGATTCAAACAGTGAAATCTGCACACACGACTATACCCAAAATGGTGCTTTGTGGCCAGAAACAATTAAAAAACAAAACCAATGGCTGGGGATTTAGCTCAGTGGTTTTGCCACCTGCTGCGCAAGCACAAGGACCTGAGTTTGATCCCCGGTACCAAAACAAAAAACAAAAAAACCCCCAAAAAACCACCACTACACCAGACCATTATAAGAATGTGCTTCAACTGACCCTGCAATTAGGATTTGAAAGCAGTATGCTAGAAAGGCTAAATACTATTTCAGTTTGATGAGGATTCTCTGTCTAAAATTAAGCCAAGCTCCTGAACCTTCCCCTAGGCCCATCTGTGCATTTCCATGTAAAGAACCCTACTAAGTCCATTTACCAAGAATTTGTCCATTCTCAACATCTGATGAGGAGAGGTCTGATTATGTTCAGTAAAAATCCTGTTGTTAAGGGCCTGAGTTCAATCCCCGGTACCAAAAAAAAAAAAAATCCTGTTGTTAGGTTTAGCCAGAATCCCTCTTATTCCTGATGTTTCTTCTTAGTCCTTTTTAACACCCACTGACCCTCTCACCGAGCTCCCTGGCTATAATTTCCCATCTGCCCATGCTAAATTCAGCATTTAGCCCCACCTCTCTGCCCTACTGCAAAATCCCAATGCAGTAGTCCCTATACTATTGTAATGGTCTGAACAGTCTTCTTTACCATGTTTAACAAATATCACTGAATAATTTTCTTTAAAAAGTTAAATGAGCCATTCTCAAAAACCATACGTATTTACTAATCAAAATTAATCTCCTTTAAAGTAATCTCTTTTTCTGTGACATATACATGTCTGTAGAGTCTGTATAACTTCTGATAAAAAGCTCAATCTCTATATCTGAAAATACACCAAGAATCAGGATTTAAATGTTAAATATTACACAGTTCATCTCATTCTTCCATCATCATATATCTCCAGAGTAAGGCAATCAACACAAGTAGCCCAAGCTGATCATCAGAATATAATCTAGAAGATATTTCAATTCAAAGAAGTAAAAAACCTCTCACCCACCTTTTAAAAAATAGTTATTACCCACAGAATCAAATACACAAATGCACAGAGGGAAATTTAACCCCTGAATCACATCTCAGGATGTTAGGTAAAATTGGTCCTAGTCTTCCCAGATGCTGATGAGAAACAGCTTATAGTGAAACCACCACTGGGAACTTTACTATTATATGGCAAAACTTTCCTTCGATGGCAATCCTAGAGCAATGATTCCTAAACTTGTCTGCACATCAAAATCATGTGGAGGTGGCCACGGATTTAGCTCAATGGTTCCACCGCCTGCCTCGCAAGCATAAGGTCCAGAGTTTGAGCCCCGGTACAAAAAAGAAAAAGAAAAAACCCTCAGGAAGGTAACATTTGGGCCCCAGATTTAGCTCAGTGGTTCCGATGCCTGCCTCGCAAGCGCAAGGTCCCAAGTTCGATCCCCAGTACCAAAAAAAAAAAAAAAAAAATCATGTGGAGGGCTTACCAAAACACAGACTGGCAGCCCCATCCCGAGTGTTCCTGCTTCAGCAGGTCTGAAGTGAGGCCTGAGAATCTGCACTGATAGACATCATGTTCTCAGGTGACACTGGTACTGCTCACTGAGGACTACACTTCAATAACTACATTTAGGCGACTCTGAAACTGTAAAAACATTCAGCTGTTCCAACAGAAGGGAAATAAAGGTATAGGAGCTATACGGATACTTTTGAAACTACATACAAATTCTCCCGGCAGCTGAATCTGTGATCCCTGCCCAAAAGAAAAAAAGCACCAAAAATGGTTGCTTAAAAAACTGTTAAGTCAGGTGTGGTGGTGCATGCCTGTAATCACAGCACTAGGGAGGCTGAGGCAAGATCACCATGAGTTCAAGGCCAGCTTGGCCTATATAGTGAGTTCAAGGCCAACAAAGGGAGACTGTGTCTCAAAATAAAAAAGCAAACAACCAAAAAAAGAACTGTCAACATGCTTAGCCATAAGGAAAATGCAAATCTAAACTACACTGAGAGTGCATCTCATCCCACTCAGAATGGCTATCATCAAGACCACAACAAGCAATAAATGCTGGCAAGGATGGGGGGAAAGGGTGCTTTTTTGCACTGTTGGTGGGAATGTAAATAAGCACAACCATTATGGAAATAAGTATGGAGACTCCTGGCCCCCAGAAAAAGAAAAAGGAGCTACCATTTTGATCCAGCTATACCACTCCTCAGTTTATTCCCCCACAATTAAAGTCAGCATACTACAGAGACACGTGTATTTACAGCAGTGCAGTTCATAAACACCCTACATGCCCATTAACTGATGCATGGATAAAGAAAATGTGGTATGTATCTACACAATGAAATATTCAACCATAAAGGGTAACAAAATCTTATCATTTGCAGGAAAATGGATGCAACTGAAGACCATCATGCAAAGTGAAATAAGCCAGATTTAGAAAATCAACTATCAGCCGAGATTTAGCTCACTGGAACTGTGCCTGCCTGGCAGGCTCAAGGTCCTGAGTTCAATTCCTGATATCAGAAGGGGAAAAAAGTCAAATATCACATTTTCTCTCATAGGAAGAATCTAGGAAGGGAAAAAAAGAAAGAGCAAAGGGGAGGGGGGGAAGGAAAGTTGAAGTAGAAGAGGATAGGGAAAGGGGAAGGAAAGACGAAGGAGGGGAAGGAAATGATCAAAGTATGGTACAGGCATGTACCAATATGCCAAAATGAAACCCACTAGTTTGTATAACTAATATGCAGTTAAAAAATGTCATCAAATGGGCCGGGCGGGGATTTAGCTCAGTGGTTCCGGCGCCTGCCTTGCAAGCTGAAGGTCCAGAGTTTGATCCCTGGGACCAAAAAAAAAAAAAAAAAAAGTCACTAATTATGACTCTAAAGCAACAGCTTTCACTTTGTATTTTTCATGTTACAAATGTATATATTAGGAACATGCCTTTGATTTCTTTTATTGAGGGTTTCTACTTGTGTACAGGGATAATTGAAGTAGTTCTCAACCCTGCAAGATACAAAAATAATCAAAATACTGTACAAGTGGGCATAGTGGCATAGGTCTATAATCCCAGCACTCTGGCAGGCTGAGGAAGGATTACAAATCTGAACACAGCCTGAACACCACTCCCCAATTTAGCAAGTTGAAAGAAAAGGAAGGGGATGGGACAGGACACACTGTAGCTCAGTAGGAAGACCCTGGGGCTCGACCTCCAGCACAACCCCCCTCAAAGATAATGGCCACTTCTGTAACAGATTTTTTTTTAACAGGAATATATGAGAAGTAAATACCTGTACCGGAGGAGAAGACTGATATACTGTGAACAGCTGGGCAATGAAATCCAAGTCTAACCTTGTTAGTAGGGAGGGGCAGAGCAGGGACAGGGGCGGTCATTCTAGGCTGAAGGAGACAGCGTAAGATGATGAGTGTTGAGAAACAGTAGGAATGAGCAGTTCCAAGTGAAAAAATTCAACAGTTTGAGTGCTATTGTACACCATCCATCTGCTAAGTGCTTGCGCTACTCAGAAAAACAAGATAGATGACACTCCTCAGACCTCACAATTTAGGAAGGACAGGCATCCTGCTGGCTATGAAGAGTGTGACTCCAAGCTAAGTAGCTTGGGCTTCATTCAGAACAAGGGGTATTCACAGAGCGGTGCAAAGGGTTTCAAAAGGAAGGAAGGAGGTCAGGAGAAGTTGGGAAGCTCACTCAACAGTCCAAACGAAAAATGAGCCTGAACTAATTCAGAGTGGCGGCTGAAATGGTGCAAAGAGGATGGATGTAAAAAATGTTTACAAGACAGAATCAAGCAGACCCATCCACTCACTGTGGGGTAAAGCATGATCCATACACAGAAGAAGCAAAGGCAGGCTGAGA